CAAATTTGTCATGTGAGCCTGTACAATATACGTAAATATAAAGGGATAACATTGATGAGTCTTAGCTTGGCGGTCATCAAACAATGTTAAATAACACTATCTTTTCTATTAGGATTTCAGATAATTAATTAAATAAAAGCGAAATAATGATACCAATAGATTTTTTGTAATCTTTTATATTAAATTAATTAATTAATTTGAAGTGAATATAAAATAATTAGCAAAAAATTAATGATTTTTTTGTGAGAATCGGATATTTTTTTAATAAAAACTAAATTTAAACCCAAATAAAAAAAAATTAAACCTAACCAAAACTAAACCTAAAGGCGTAGTGTTTTGTTACACTTTTTTTTGGTAATGGTGAAAATTTATCTATAGTCCTTCAAACTCTCGATTCTTCGTAATAGTTTATAAATAACGTGAAACAGATAAATCAATCAATGGATGACATATTCAATAAAGAATGAAATCGAAACCGTGAACCTCTTTAAAACCTCTTTAAAAATCAAGCGTGCAATGTTTTGTTACACATTTACTATGTAATATGTATCACTCAAATCCATTTTCTAAATAATTAACATAAATATACGGTGAATGTTGATGGATCGGAACTAGGTGTAGCAATCAATAAATTTTGTTGGTTTATATAATAATAATAATAATAATAATAATAATAATAATAATAATAATAATAATAATAATAATAATAATAATGATGATGATGATGATGATGATGATGATGATGAGAGTGGGAAACAACCCTCCGGCCTTTCCTACATTCACCTCCGTGAATTCATATGATTTTATCTTTTGTCCTTTATATACAAAAAAAAAGATTATTTTCATTGAAAAACTGCATGCGGATATTGGTCCGTCCTTTAATTAAAAAATTAATAATCACTAATTTGCACAACGTACTTATTTTGTTTACAATATGACTATATATATATATATATATATATATTAGTAGATTAGTGATTAATTCAGGGTTTATATTAACTTACATCGCAGAAAACAGAAAACGTATCTACGTAAAGTGTATTTAGGAATATGAACACGATATTAGGAATTCTCTAACGTTATTTAGGGAAAATGTAATAATTTGTTTACCAAAAAAAAAATGTAATAATTTAGACCTAATTGTAAGATCTCGGTCACCGGTATTATATTACTGTACAAAAAAGTTGATGAACTGTATCATCTTTTTTATATATAAAATAATGTCTTTTAATCCCCAAACCGACGGGCCAAAATCTAAGTGCTGCTTTCATAGTTTCTGGTTGGCACCAACTTTTGATTCTTTAAATACTCGGCCCGTTTTTTGGGTTATGTCACGTTTACATACGTACACACACATATATATATATATATATATATTCTTGTCTTTTTCTCTAAAATATCGTCACATAAATAATAACAATAATAATAATAATAATTGATAGGCTACATTTATATATGTCATGTAAATCATGGTAGGAAATTCACTTTGGATACCCAGTTAAAAAATATATAAGGCTGGACATTATTTTTTTTAATAATCCAAAAATTCACCAGATTTTCGACATAACTACATCTCCCATGAATTCGGAAAAACTCGGATAAATATTTCTCACTAATGAAAATAATCGAGTGAAAACTATCTTCACTATTTCTGTTGTCACACGTCATCGCAACTATTAAATCAACCTGCAATGTGAATAGTCGTACCATTGATCCATTATATATTCCATCTTCCACATAGGTTGGTTTTGGATAAGATACCATAGCTTGATGCAATTATTATTTTATACAAACAATGATTTGTGGTGAGCGAAAGCTTGTTTTGGAAATATTTTTAAGAAAAATATTCGTTCACTCATAAATGATTCTTTTTATACCGAATTGAAACAAATAAATGAGAAAGTTCCCCATTCCGCATTTATTAGTTCTGGCGAAAAGACGAGAAATGTTATATATTATTAAAATAGAAACATTCTCTTTAAATTAGCAAAAGAGTTCTATTTTTTTTTTTACTAAATTAAACAAAAGGATTCTATTTGAAACACGTTTTGGAGTTTTGGACTTCTAAACTCGTCTCAGAATGAAAAAACATAAGAAGAACCATTTACAAAAGCTCAAGTTTTGGGTAAGAAGTAATTTTAACTTGAGGTTGAGTGTTCGATTCATAAGTGGTGGAGAGAGAGGTAATTTCTTGGTTTATATGATCTATATACAAAAACTGTTCTCTAGTCGGAAGTTTACCTAGTCACCGCGTTCGAAGAGTAATAGATAGGAGTCCTCAATTATCCAAGAAAAAGGTTTACCTATAGATATTTCTGTTCGTATGTTTCAGGAGAGAGAAAATTATATATATATATTATACTAGTGTCTCTAATTTGCTAAATATCATGGGTGGTTAAAATTATTCGATTTTCAAGCGACGAATAATCCAGGTTCAAGTTTATTTTTGCAAATAGAGATTATTCATAAATTGGATTCGAGTTTGGGTTTCGCAATTGTACGGTTAGATATATGGGATACCGTATCAAATTATAAAAAAAGAATACTATTTATATTTATCAAAAAAAAATTTTAAAAAACTATTCTTATTATTTTTAAAAATTTATAAAACTACCCTCTGTTTTTTAGTTATATCGATTCCATTGATGTTGACTAAAACTATAAAATTACCCTTAATTTTAAACATATAAAATATTTGAGCTTCCATTTCCTTTTTCCAGCCCATTTGTAGCCCAATCTTGATATCATCGCGTCATTTGGCTTCTTGCTTTTTTTTTTAATTTACCGAAGAAGCAAAATAAATGCATTAACCATTTGTTTTTTCATTCATAATATTTTTTTTTTAGTTGCTAAATAAAACCGTGGTAGGACTTGCACGTCGTGAACGATCCGGAGTTGGTAGAGGAACAAAACCTTTAGTAAGGTCTCCTGGCTAGAGGTGTCAGTCGGGTAGGTCCGGCTCGACCAAGTCCGAGCCCAAACTCAATTTGAGGGTTTTGGGTTAGTCCGATTTTTTTTCAGATATATATAACCAAACCCAAACCCGATCCGATCCGCTTAAAATCCTTCATCGATTTATTTTTTTATTAAGACTTTTAAAAAAAGTATCGAATTTTTCAAATCAAATCCAAAATCCGATTTGAGTCCGACTCCAAAACTCGATTTTTTTCAGATTGAAAATCATAGACCCGAAACCTGTTATTTTTCGGATTGGGTCGGACTGAGCTTCGGGTGTCGAACCTAATTGACACTCTCCTACTAATACCTCACCAAGACTTCGGGCCTCTACTGGGCCGAAATTTCATCACCTCTAATGGGCCACATGACCCAGCCAGAGTTGTTCATTAACAAATATGTCAAGGTCGGTCAGTTATAATTACAATCCGAATATTTAAAGACTTATTGAATGAATCATGATATATATATATATATATATCATTACCAGAACAACCAGAAAATCTTGATCGATGTGAGAATTGATGAAATCCAAAGCGTAGAAGAATATGGTCCGAATTTATGTATTCTTATACTATTTAAATAAATAACGATTAGAGATAATTTTATTCTATTCAAAATCCGAAACAGAAGCGATTCTCAAACTCTAACGTAAAAAAGTGATTCGAAAATTTCGAGCACGGAAACAAAAGTGTATAAACCGGTACGAACCAACCAAAAAACAATATGACAAAACCAGGATCACATAACATAACCGGATACAAACCGAAGAATATATCGACTCGTAAGATCCGTTGCAATTCATATTCCAAGGTAGGATATGGTGTGCGTGGAAACATGAAAACTCTTTCACAAAGTTTAGAATAAAACATAAATAATAAACTAAGAATATAAATAAGATTTAAATTTAGGAAAAAATGAAGTAAAACAAATGTCTGATTAAATTTAAGTCTAAAGAGATAAGATAATAAATGCTCCCTCACTAATCTGATTGGTCCCCTCCTTGTTTAGTTGACCTTAATTTATCCCATCTATTATTATAAACTAACAATTAATTTATAAGTTGTCTTCTAATCCATCTGAATCTAATTGTTGATTAGTGGGTAAAAAGACTTAGTTATATAGACAATATATATATATATATATATATATATATTGTAGAGACATTTATTTTTCAAAAATCTTTAAAAAGCAGCACTTTCTAAAATGCTAAAATATAAAAGTATCTCTTAAACTGAAACCTAAATCCGAATAAACAAAAAAAAAGCTTTTAGAACTATAACAAGGTTATTTTAAAACAAAATTATTTATATTTTACTAATTTTTATTATCATTGAGAAATACTTTTTACTACTTATATCACCAAAAATATGTTATATTAATTATAGTTATTTTACGGCTATTTCTCTACATATATCACCAACGTATTAGTTTACTTTTTTTTTCAATGGATTTGAAAATGTTTTATTTTTTAAAAGTATTTGATTATATATAAAAAAATGGGAAAAAAAGTTGAAATTTCGCAATCGAAGATAAAGTGATTGCATATCCAAGGGTGGCCTGAAATGGGTGATGCCTCGTAGTGTGATATAATACCATTTATAAATATATATATAAATAATACGAAATATCCATACGGAATATTCCTCTTATTATTGTGGTTGAGTTGTGACCCACCCACCAATATTTCTTATACATTTTTATATTCATAAAACCAAAAGCATATTAATCTTCTTTCTTTGATATTTTATCTTATTAGGGTTTCCATATTTATTCCACTTAATGTATGTTAAAAAATGTAATTTCTAATGAATATATCAAAGCAAATTAAATAATACAGAGCCATGTCAACTTTGATGCTATTTCAGAATAAAAATCTTTTGGATTTCTTCTGGATATTCATTTTTAAATAAATACGGAAAACTAATAACATAATTCGGGGCTGGCCTACAAAAATAAACTGAATCAGAATAAATATTTGTAATATGACATTATTATATTTACATAAAATATGGTACGGCATAAGTGTTGTATCGCTGTTTTTCCGTCCGAAAACGCATACGTACAGGATATGCGTTTAACAAACTGACCAGATATTATATCATCCAGTCATCATCTTTATCTTCTTCTTCTCTCTCTCTCATCTTGAGATTCTCAATCCATTCTGGAAAGAAAAAAAAACTTATCTCATCTCTCTCTCTCCTCTTTCAGCCACGGCGATTAAATCCGCCTCGATTCCACTGGTCGCCGTTTCCATGATCTAATAAGCTCTCGTCGTGCGCCGCCGCCGCCGGTTCGGTATTTCCGGCGATTGATGAGACAGAAACCCAGAAGGGCGCGCATACGAAGAAGAAGAGGACAAGGGTAAACGAAAAAAAACCGTGATTTTCTTTTTTCTCCACACAAATCTGTGTGATCTCCCATCGTTTTGGTCCTGTTCTGTTGTGATCTACTTCGATCGTAATCGGGAGGCTGAGAAAATGGAGGTGATGATGGGACCCACGTTCTCTATCGATGTCTCCGCCACGGCTGAGTTCGTCAGGGATCGCAGCGTTGCTCCGTCCCCTCCGCCATCGGAGATGACGTCATCATTCGCCGCTGCCGCACCTGGTCGAGCCGGAAGCGGGGTATGGTCGGGTCAGACGGCGGAGTACTCGTCGGAGAGTTCGTCGTCCATCGGGTCGCCGGGAGAAAGCGACGAGGAAGAAGACGAAGATGTTTCATCAAAGGAGCAAAGTCTACGAGGGTTAGGCTCTTTGAGCTCTCTCGAGGATTCTCTCCCCATCAAGTCAGTAACTTTATCTCTGTTTCTCTTTTCCCACAACATTTTCACTGCCTGTGACATGGGATTTGGAATCTGGGTTTTCGCCTATTTGGGAGAAAAATCAAGGGCTTGAGCGTGGATTTTTGCAGGAGAGGATTGTCGAATCATTACAAAGGGAAGTCGAAATCGTTTGGGAATCTGGCGGAGATCAGCTGCGTGAAGGAAGTGGAGAAGCAAGAGAACGCACTGAACAAGAGACGAAGATTACAGATCTGCAACAAATGGGCGAGAAGATCGTTCTACGCATGGCAGAACCCTAAATCCATGCCTCTTTTACCGGTAAACGAAGACGAAGACGAGGAAGAAGATCTGAAATCTGGGTTCGACGAATCGAAATCGTCGGTGTCGTCATGGAGCGAGGAAGAAGGACCGAGAAAATCTTCGTTCAAGAACAGAGGTCTCAAGTCACGAAGCTGCTTCGCGCTCTCAGATCTGCAGGAAGAAGAAGATGACGACTATGATCAATAAAATACCGATATTTCTGAATGATGATTTTTCTTGTTTGTTCATAGTTTTTTTTTTTCTTTTTCTTTTTTAATTTAATTCGTCTCGAGAAATTTAATGTGCCTTTTTTTTTAAAAAATATATCGATAAAAGAGAAGGACGACACTAAGTGCATGTGTCATTTTCTTAGCTTATCTGTTTGCCGTTCCTTTTTTTTGTCGGTTTGTTTTTTTATTATTAGTTAAAAGATAACAAAAACTTCGGCACTTCAGGTGCACAAACCCCTAATTTTATATCTACCTCGCGTTGAAAGACCATTATGCCCCTGATTGCGAAAGACCATTATAACCCCTTTATATTCAATTCGGTTATATTTATTTGGATTCGATTATTTTGGTGGTAACATATTCGGTTTTTATATAAATTTCAGTTCAGATTCATTTTTTATTGTAAAAAAAATTATTTTTTTAAAAAAAAATTATCAGTTTTTCAATTATTTTTTAATCGATTTATTTTTATTGTTTATTTATAGAAATCATAACTGTTCGGTTTTTATGTTGGATTCGATTCGATTACGATTACATCTTATTCAGTTCGATTCGATTCGATTATTCGATTAATAACATTTTATCACCCTAAATCAAAAATTCCTTTTCTACAAAATTGCGAATTTTCGTAGAACAATCCACGTTCTATATTTTATTGTATAAAAATGAATTTGATTTATTGGAAACCGATAGATGTCTCAAAAAAAAAACAATTGTCTTTGTTTTATGAAAAAAAAGGCGAGGTCACCACTATAAAATCAAAATATAATTGAAGTCTTAGAAAGAACGTTTTCTTTGACCAAGACAAATCAAGGGTGTACTGTTATAGAAATGTCATTTGTGTTAGCAAGAGGATATTATTACTTTTTACATTATTATTTTCACATTAAATTTCTTTATTTAAAACTTTAAGTATTTTCTAAATCAAAATTTTCATTTATGTAACCTAAGCTTGAATATAAAAATATTAGGATAAAAAAAATAAATCTAACCAAACCATAATTTAATTTTTTGGGTTGATATCTCTAATACAAAGTCAATCGACGTTAATACGATAAAAATAAACGAATGAAAACTAAAATTTATGTATTGTAAAGAAAAGTACAATCTACAAAATTGAAGTAAAATCATTTCATATCTAACTGGGTTTTAATCCATTCTAAAATTTTAATTATTTATGAAAGTGTAAAATTTATATAACGCAGCCTTCCCTATGAAATCCTACAAAAATGTATTTCACACTTGCATAAATAATTGAATTATTCTAGAATGGAATAAAACCGAGATAGACTGTATTGATGAACACGTACAAAAATATCTTAGTTTTTTTTACAAAAAAATATATACTTTTGTACTAGTTATTTAAAAATTTTGTATTACCAAATTGAATTTTCGTAACTGAGAGAAAATTAGAGAAGAAGAAAAAAAGAAATAAAAAAAAGTTTGTGGACTGAAAAATCCAAAATTTTCCGATAAATTCTAAACAAAATGCCATACGTATAGCATTATATTCTTTTTTTTTTAAAAAAATATGAGATTTCTTCTAATGATGGAAATACAATTTCATGGGCCACTTGTCTCTCTGCACAATGTTTTGACAAATCAGCCGGTGGTTTTCGATCTATTTACAGAAGCGGCGCATATCCTTAAATATTATTTACCAATTTGCCCTAATTTTCCTACCACAATTGCAGAAGTACCCTTTGCAACAACAAAAAAAATTCTCTATGGCTAGGATTTAGTATAGATATTTTCATTCTACTTAACAAACCTATTCTTGATTCTAATTAATAATATATATAATAATAAATTTGTTTCCTTTTCAAATTTTTAAATAGTATGAAAATAAATTTTCAGTCGTGAAAATCCCATTTATTCGCTTTGTTGTGTTTTTCTCTATTTAAATAACTTATAAAAAATTAATAGTAATGATTTATATTAGTTTTTTTTGGTAAAGGGATAATTAATATTAGTTGTATATAGTATTTCCAATAAAACTAAACTAATGTTCTTTAGATTTTTATAGTATTATTAGTATCCCTAGAATAAATTTTGCCATGATAATATATTTTTTTAAAGATGCAGCTGCATATTTATATACACATATAAATGCGAAAATATAACGTCTTTAGTTATTAATTAGTTTTAAGAACTATGTGGACATAAAAGATGAGAAAAAAAAAAAAAAAAAAAAACGGTGAACCCGTTATGACAATTTTGGTCAGGCTTATATGGTCATAGTTTTGGATTTGGGCCATTATTTATTTGTTGGGCCCACAATTCTATGTATTTCGTGGTCTTCGTCGTGACAAATCGACCATAGATACAGACAAACGGCTAAACAACGGCCACGTCACCATCTATATATATATATATATAAACGTTGAGATAATTGAATACTATCCCAAGCCAACAGCCGTTGATATTTACAACCACGTATACAAAATAGAAAGAAATCTATCACATTTGGAATTCATCCTCCGTGAATTAGGAAATCACGATAATTTGGGCCACAAAGGCCCATTAACTATCAAAAGCCCATTTAGACCCATTTAGGTGATCAAGTGGAAGTCCAGGTTAACTCGCGTTTCGGAATGGCGTTTGCAATCGCCGGAGCGTTTCGATTCCCGCCGCCCCCGTATTAAAGGCAGTTGGAGAAAAACCCTAAATAAAGATTTTGTGGGGATTTGAACTCTGATGAAGACGATTGAGAAAAGCTTTTATTTCTTCTCCTCCTTCTGACCAGTTGGAGAGTGAGAGTGCATGCAATCTCCCATAGCTGTGGTCATCTTCATAGTTTTGTATATAATTAATGGATAAAACCCATAAAAATTCTTTAATTTGTAAAATTGTGAAAATAACAAACTTATTTCTAAATTTATAAAATGTGTCATTTATAATTACAACTTGTTAATTATTGTCAGGAAAAACGACGATGTTGATAAAAAAAATTAGTTTGAGAATTATAATGACACGTTTTGCAAGTTACATAATAAATTTATCAAATTAAAATAAGTTTAAAAATTAATTTTTCACCTACAAATTTAAAATTTTTTTTTATGGGGTTTACCTTCGTAGTTTTGGCTATCAAAGATAGCATATCAATATGCATTCGGGAAAGAAGCTAGAAATTCACTCATCATTATACACATATACACAGATACATCCAATCCATTCAAACAGATGCATTGTACATGTGAATCATCATTTTGTTCCAATCAAAAGAGAGAAGAATAAAATAAAAAGACAGTTCATGTTTTTCGAAAAACACAAAGACAATCAAGATATTGATATATATATATATATATATATATCACTTAGATGCCGCAGTTTCATAGTCAATAACGGTTTCAAAGGCTCCGACCAGAGCCTTGACCTTGTTCTTCCTGTTCTCAAGCAGCTTACTTGCAGTTTTCTCTATTACGTCGTTGTAGTCTGACCGAGCCTCCTTCTTCCCTTGCACCACTTCTCTCTTTGTCCCCTCTGGTGTTTCTGTTACTGCAGCCTTTGTTTCCGATGTTGCATCTTTGACGCCGCTTCTGCTTTCACTTTCCTGCTTCTGTTCTTTCTCGCCGGCTTTCTCTTCTTCTGCGCTGTCTTTGAGAGTCGGAGTTTCTTTCACATCAATGGCAACTTCATCACTTCTCTCCTCGCCAACTTTCGTGTTAACCAGTTCCTCTCCTTCACCATTGCCGTCTAGGTTGTCCTTGGGTGCCTTCGCTTCCTCTATTTCCTCCACCGTTTTATCGTCATCGATCACTTCTTCTTTTTCTTCTTTGGTGGCATCAAGAGAATGAACTAAAAGAGGGGATGCATCGGTTTGATCACTTTCCTCCGCTTGCATTTCTTTATCTTCTGACTTTGGTCCCTCTCTATCATCAGACATTTGTACATCGGTCTCGATCTTAACTATCTCGTGTTCCTCCTCGTGAGCAGGGGGTGTAGGAGGAGAAGATTCTCGGGAGATTTCTTTATCCGAGGAAACATTCGAGGAAGAACGTTCCTTTCTGCTGTGCAAGGAAAGACGACTAGTTCTCGGGCCGCTCTTCTTCGTACCGTCCGAGTCTTTTGGAGCTGAGGGAGGTGATTTCACCATACCACCTCCTCTAATGGTGTTTTTGTTTCCACCCGTGAGGGGCTTGTCTCGTGGGGATGAAGTTGAAGGGGAAGACAAAGAAGACGGAGGGCGATCAAAGGATCGCCTACGAAGGAGCTTCTGGTGGTCGTCGATGCCCTTTTTCAAGTGCCTGACAGGGTCAGGTCTCGAGCTTATCGTCGCTTTGAGATAGTTAGGCAAAGGTTTCCCCTGTTTGTGATCCGGCCCATCAGGGCTTGCGCTGTGTTCAGACAACCCTGCAGGCTTCGGCTTTCGGCTAAGGGGTCTGGATCCGGAGAGGCTCTGGTTGTCTGGTCTTCCTTTGGTTGAGGTCGTCACCATCATGCAGAAATCAAACGGCCAAAGAGAAGAGATCACGCACCGTGCTGTTATAGAACAACAAACAAAAGGGTTTGCATGTCACAAATCAGACAAAGCATATAGATATGATTGGTTGTGCATGAACATGGAAATTAGAAGAACACGTGCCTCGTCCTCTCTGACCAGAAGAACGATGGAGATAGAGAGAGAGAGAGAGAGTACCTTAATAAGAACAAAGGGGAAGTCTATGTAAAAAGAAGAATTTAAGGTTTGGAGGATATTAAAGAGGGGAAACGTGCATATCAAGGAACAGAACAACCCCCTTAAGATAGTGGAGGAAAATTAGGGTTTTCTAATCTGGAATCGTTTCTCGTTTTGCAAACGGAGCTAAAATCCCGGCCGTGGCCGTGTTGATGGTGGAGGCTCCTATGAATCCATTTTCCCCTCAACAATAAAAACCCCTTTAACAAAATTAAATTAATATTCCAACGGTCCGATCCTCGTGGAGTACCGTTGACTTTGTGTCTATTTCTAGAGAGAGAAAAAACATTATACAGACACGTGTTTGTATGTTTCGGACCGTTTCAATGTTCGTGGGATAATGTTCCCACGTCATTTAACACCCTGAATTTTTATTATTCATTCTGTTTCTGATTTGGAATTTAATATTAAACTTATAAACATATGTGCACATATATATACATACCTGTGTGTCTATATATACATACATGATACATATATGATATATAGATATACACATAAATGGAAATGGAAAATGGACCATCTCTCAGCTAAGAACTCTTCCACATTGATACGACATGTAACCGACTCGTTCTATTTTTTACGTCTATGTTTGTTTTTTCATTTTTAAAAAAATCAAAAAAGAAAAATTAGAAACAGCCATCATAGAACGAGATCAACGAATTGTCAACGTTCTCTTGACATTTTAAAATATCGAGAACGATGTTACAAAGTATTATTATATAGATTGCTAATGACTGTGTTTGCCGTTTGATCCACCGCTTACTCCTTTCCAACCAATTTAAATTCATAGTTTATATATAGAATTTGGGAAAAAAAATAAAACTAAATAAATTGAAAATTCATGTAATAAAAGAAAAAAATAAGAATTTAAAAATCCAAGTTAGAAGACTCGAATGGTAAGCGATGAAATAACCCACTTTCGAGTATTTATTTGGAGAGTGATATTTACATGGATTTCTGGATTCTTTAAAAGATACAATTGGGTCCAAAATTCTATGAAATTGCGAATTATAAAAAAAAGAGATTTTAGAAGAAATATAAATATTTATTTGTATCTAGGAAGTTAGTATCTATATTAACTCTATTTATAGATAATACAACAAGATTGATTGTTTTTCAGTAACAAGTTTGTCAATACAATTTTGATGATTTCTCAACACGAATTTATCAAACTCATTTTAAGAATATCATATGTTGTGATGATTATGTGTTTGGTATCATTCTCTTATATTTTAATCTTAGATTATTTGGAAGAAAATAAATTATCATCAAAGAGGTTTTCTTAAAAATTATCATCTACATAATAAAAGAAATATCAAATTCTGGAATGGTTTTAATGATAAAATTGCAAGAAATGAAACATTCAAAAGATAATATATATATATATATATATATATATATATAGGGTTATTCGGTTTGATTTTATTTAGCTTATTTTAATTTAATTCTATTGACTTTAACTTACTTGATTTCACTCGTACTTATTGAAGACATTTGTTCTTCATTTTGACTGACGTTTCATTTTGATTTTGATGAATGACAACGAAAATTCATTTCCATTTACCGTTTTCTTCTTCGTTCGATCTTATCAAACATCAATTTACCAAACCGAAATAATTAACCATATATATCCTAATATACAATTACAATATTATACATAGAAAAATAAAAACAAATGCATATCAATTTGTATACGTAGAATCAATCTATCATTTAAAAGCTTGTCTGCATGGTGGGTCCCGTTGATCTTCAAGAATCACGCAATGGCATTTCCTCTTCACTTCCCTCTGCATTGCTCACAACCAACCGCCTGAATCCCAATCCCAAACGCAACCGCAAACGCAGAAAATGAGTGTAGTTTGGTCAGTGTTGGATAACCCTAGTGACTTTTCCCATAGCGACAGTTCTTCCCAAAGATCGAAGGAACACTCTTCCAAGAGCTCGGCTCTCCGAGAATGTCTCCACACAGACAGGTCCTTGAAGACTAACCTGGCATCAGTTGCAGAAACAAACATCTTTACAACATAATCTGAAGAGAAGAGATGTGTTTTCCGATGTGTCGGTTCGGATTCTTTCACCTCGAGAATTGCGCTTTGCTTCGCGGTTAGACAACGAGGGGACATCTTTGTGGCCTCCCCGGTTTTCGGATCGAGCAATGATTCAATTCTCACAACTATGGCTGCTTCCTTTGCATGGTGTACATGAAACTCCAACTGATCATATCAGCATGAGAAGTAACAATTAGAAACATCGAACCTAGATAATAGAAAGGGTGATGGTGTCAGAGGACTGGGCACGGGTCACCTATCCAAAAAATTCAGGATATCGAACCCGAAGGTCTCGGGTATCATAATATGATACAGTATTCGTATCCGAGGGTCTCGAGTACCCAGATTACGGGTACCCGACAAAATGTTTGGAATCCAAGGAAACCAAATCCAAAAATTGGATATCCACGGGTCGGATATCGACGACTATCTGTATTTAGGTATTTATGTCCACCCCTCGTTAGAGATCGAGGAAGTGGAGATTTGTTTTACCTGGGAGCCAATCAAAATCGGGGTTGCACCTTCCAAGACGAGCACTGTAAGTTCCAAGCGAGTTGCCACTAGAACTGGGAAATCGAGATGGCAAAGAACGCCTCCAGCAATCACTTGACTTGCATCAATCCCTTGCAAAGTCATCGCTACATTATCTCCAGCTCTCGCGATGCTACAAGCCCGAGAATCACGCTCCAAAGACCGCACTGTCCCGACATCTCCCGATGGCATGACTAATATCTACAAGAGAGTTCCAGTGAAGTGAGTAGTTGCAGCAGTTGAAATTGTTTCCCCACTATGATGAAATGCCATATTGATGGGAACAGAGGAATTTCGATTATAAGTATTGAACACTAACTAATGAAGTTTAGGGTATATAGCAGAAATCACAGATCCATTCATCCACAAAAAACACAGACCAAGAAACATTTAGTCATGGAACTTTGCGAACCTTGGATCCGGTCCGAACAGCTCCAGCTTCCAGTTTGCCAATGGCAGAAACCTGCCCTTGTTTACTTGTTCGTACGATATCACATATGGGCATAAGCAGAGGCTTAGTGAAATCTCTAGCGGGAGATTTCAGAGAATCGATAGCATCCAATAAACACGGGCCTCGGTACCTGTAGTTCAGAAGAAATTTAAGCAAATTCAATTTGCAATCCATTTCTTATTTAACTGGAAGAACGAAAGGAAATTTCAGTAATCTGGAACTGAAGCAGGAAT